CAGCCTATCCTTACACCACGGCGAATCCATTAGGACGTGGATTATGAAGTCCGCGCTGGCTTGAGCTCTTCATACGCAGAGAAGGGGTGGGTAGCAGATGATATCCACTCTGAGAGCGCTTCAAGGACTTTGGATTACGCATGTTCGTATCTTTCTTCACCCTCTGCTATACATTTTCACATTCTCTTACAGATGACGATTATGCGGCCTACGTGCTCGCCTCCGCTTTGGGCAAGCCATCCAATGTAACGACATTCCTATACGAGCGATCGATGAAGGCGCCTTTCACGTTGTTTAATTCGGATACTGGGTTCATGGAAGCGAGGAATGAGGATGGGAGTTGGGCTGGGGAAGACGCAGGATGGACTGAGGGTATGTTTTTTCTTGAGGATTGAGGAAATTAACGTGCTCACCTCTCGTCTCCCGCAAAAAGGCGACAAATGGGCGTACTCCTTCGATGTTGTTCACGATGTACCTGGACTTATTGCCAAACGAGGAGGAAACGAAAGTTTCGTGAAGAGTTTGGATGAACATTTTGATGGAGGACATAATGATCATACTAACGAGGTTGGTCTTGATCTTATACCGTGCTCATATTACTCATGATATTGTTTGTTATCAGCCTTCACATCATATACCCTACCTATACGCTCTCGCGGGTGCAGCTTACAAGACTCAACTGCGTGTCCGAGAAATTGCGAAGGCGAATTATAATAATACCCCGAATGGGTTGTCAGGTGTACGTCGGTTTCTTTCTCTGTCTTATGGGAAAAGTGAAGTACTCACTCGCTTGGCCCTTCCATAATAGAACGAGGATTGTGGACAAATGAGCGCTTGGTATATATTCAGTGCTATGGGATTTTACCCCGTCAATCCCGTGTCTGGGGAATATGTAGTTGGATCGTACGTGTTTCTCCTTTCTTACCCACTACTTCCTTCCTCATACTCGCTTAAAAACAGACCCTTCTTCGACAAGATAAAGCTGACGCTTCCGCCCTCCTCCACATCCTCCACCTCAAAGACGTTGACGATATCAGCCTTGGGCGCACCAACGAAGCCTTTCATCAAGTCCCTGACTATCAATGGACGAGTTATCGACCAGCCGATTATTAGGCATGAGGACATTGCGGGAGGTGGTGAGATTGTGTTTGAGATGAGCGAGAAGGTGGAGAGGTGGGGGAATGGGGATATGTTTCTGGTTGAGGATGATTCGGTGCTTTTTGAGGACGTGGAGGATGGGTGGGTTCATGTGAAGACGCAGGACGCGGAGGGCAAACCTGTGACTAGAAATTCGGGCGTTGAGCATATGGAATTGTGATGGGATAATTTCGCAATGGACCCAAGAGGAAGCTTCAAACTAACGGTATTCTTTGTTTTGACGAGATTACTACTGCCTTGCTGATTTGTATCTAGTGCTTTGTTTATACTTATACCTGTCTTACGCTCGGCGTTTGACGAGGAAACAAATGTAATGAGCATGGTTTTCCATTTTTATGAGACATATACCTTTCGATCTGTAATTATGACGTTGGCAGTGTCGACCTTTTCGGGTGCTCTTTCTTGTGCTGTCCGTTTCGTGGTCATTCCGCGAATTTCAGAGTTCTCCCTGGTTGCGCAGGATTGTCTCAAGTAATGGGGCCAAATGATTAGGTGATGGGCTGAGCCAGGGAGCAGGGACAGCTGATAGATATGCAGACAGCCGCGGTGGCCGTCTTCAGTCTCGAATTGTACGTTAGCCGATATCAATAAGAATAATTACGTGACCATTGATCCGGTATGGTGTAACGGCTAACATTGCCGCCTTTCATATGATTGCGCGCGGCAGCTCGGGGTTCGATTCCCCGTACCGGAGGTGTGTGCATGTTCTAGCTTTTTTTTTTTTTGACGGGAACAAGTTTTCATCTTGACGTGTAAGGAGCCGAGTCAAAAAAAAAAATACGTAAACGAACGAAGGTTAGAAAAGTAAATCACACGTTCTGGTGATAAAGTATGTTTCAACTCCTTCGATCACTGATATCCTCCAAGATCCCAGAGTCGTGCATGAACGAGCTCCATCGTTCATCTAGTCTAGAATTCCGCGCCACCAGGCCCATATCGGCGAGCTGCACAGTGTCGGAATGAAGGGCGTGTGACCCCGAGGCTTGACGAGTGTACTGCTGTAGTGGTATTTGACCAGCCGTGGATTGCAGGTACGTCTGACGATAATCGTGAGGATGCTGCGCACTCGGACGCCGAGCTGAATAATCTGGCTGGTGTTGTAGATATGATGGGTTACGATATGACTGCTGCTGCGAATACGTCTGTGGAGATGATTGGTGGGAGGAGGGCGAAGAATAAAATTGGGATGACAGAAGCTGTGAAGGTACCCGTGGTGTTGTACGGTTTCCTTGCCTTTCATGTGAAGTAGGTATCTGATGACGAGACGAGAGGTGGAAAAGTGGATCGTCCCAACCAGAGGATGGTATACCTCCGAAGGTGTTTATGGTCAGGTCACGCATCGTTCGTTCAGAGGATGCATAAGGGTAATGGAGTGGAACGGAAGACTGAGAGTACAACGGCGAGCTTTCTGATGCAGTATCCAAGTACTCTGGCGTCCACATCGCATTGGAATATCGTTGTTGTTGGTTTTGCGGTCCATGTGAATCACCACCGGACTTTTGAGCTGATATAAATCGAGTATGACCGGCAAAAATAGACAGCTCGTCATCCTCCTCCCTTCGTTTCGCTTCAATACTCCA